GAGCTATTCTGGTAATCGTTCATTAGATTTGTGCGAAAATGTAGCCCAAACTAACCAAAGTGTGGTGTGTCATCTTATCCATATGTATGTAGTATAATTTCTCCTTAAGTTGATGAACTTGCGCAGAGTCACTGACTGAATTCGTCGACAAAGCAATGTTATTTTGACCTTGACGGCCACCTGTGGATCAGCACCTGAACTGACCTGGGTGATTCATCTCAAGAGAAAACGAACGGAATAAAGATTTTGACGACACAAAGAACTGAGAACTCAAGCACCTCGAGCCAGATCATATGGAGTACGGGACCGGGTCTTATCACCGTCGTGCGACCCGAAGTGCCTCATATAAACTTGGAAAGAGAGGAACTGCTGGTAAACCGGCACCCAGTTGGTTGCCCAACCTTCGTGTAAGTCTATGGTCACTCCCAATCCAAGGTCTGAATTGTATTCGATGTAAGCGGGATGGAACCTATGATTCGCGCCCCTCTAAAAGTGCTCGTCACCAATACCCCGATACGTTTGCCCAAATGAAACCAGAGAATGGGAGCCGTATTTTCATTTCAGGACTACCGAGAGATACACTGAGTCAAGACTTAGAGGTGCGATATATTCTTTCCACAATATACCCGTATCTTATAAAATCTGTACTGATAGGACCTCATGACATCTACTGTTGGCCCAATTCATGAGGCATACATTGTTTACCAGTATGGCGGAACGCCCTTGTACAAGACTTCTGTCGATGGCTCAAAACCAAGAAGGGACCCGGATGCAGAAAAGGCCGAGAACATTCGCAACGTCGTCTCCACTGGTTGCGGAATGGTTCATTTTCAGGTGAGTGCGCGTCGCGATACTCGTACAGCAAGATGAGGTCAATTCGGATCCTATAGAAAGTCAAGGACGCTATGGAAGCGTGGGAAAAGTACCATGGGAAGTTTGTAGATGGGAAATCGACAGCGCTTAGAGTCCAGATTGTGATCGATGCTGATGAATCGTGGATTACGGATCGACCAATTAACGATACTCCTTTGGTGGGAGACTCT